AAACTGATTTGATTAGTTATTTTTTCATGTAACACCTCTTAAAATCAAAGGAGTCAGAGAGACGTATCAAGGGTTTTTTGAACCCCATTCTTTTATACTCGTTTATTTTCTAACCCATGTGCTTATAAAATCCTCCATAAATCAAGCAAAATCAATGCTAGTTTTTTCAATATCTAAACTCATGTAATTGGGTAAACTTGTAATAATTCAAATTGAGATGCGAGAAGTTCATTAGAGTATTATAGTAGTGGTTGAGGTAGTATAATAAGAGCATCTCTAAGGGGGCGGAAAAATCCGGCCCATTAGCTAAATTAGGGAACTTTTAAGGGGGATTGGCTTCAAGGGACCAGAATTTTTCTGCTTCACCCCCATGTCCCTTACTTCCTCCTCAAATTAAGGGGAAGGTTAAAATCCCTTAACCTTAACCTTCCCCTTATAATTTTATATTAATATATTTTATTTTAGAGTTAATTTATAGTTAATTAAATTTAATTAATGTATAGTTAATTTAAAATAATGTAATTAAGTTACTTTAAAATAATATAATTAAGTTAATGTAAAAATAATATGAATTTAAATTTAAAATAATATTTAACTTTTAACACAATTTATATAAGTTAATTATTATCTAAATTAATTATTTGTTAAATTTTAATATCATTAATTAATTTAATGATTATATAAGGTAATTTCTTAATTTAAATTAATTAATTAATTAATTTAGTTATTAATATTTAATTATTTATTCATTTATAAATAAACCACATATTTAATTAAATCCTAATCTATAAAATTAAAAAAACTAAACATAATTAATTAAGGGGTAGGGTACTTTTAAGAGAACCATTGGAGGAGAACTAACCCCTCCCTTAAATTCCCCCTAAATTAAGAGACATCCAAGGGATCCCTTGGAGATGCTCTAAGGGAGCTAAATTCAGTAGGGTTTATGCCACGGGTCAGTTACTTTGTAGTAGGGTTTATGTCATGTATCAGTTACTTTCTACTAATATTTTCAATTGTTAATCTATCCAAACAAAAAAAAAGGTGAATGAAGTGCAAGAACACTATTTCTACTATTTCCAAAAGTATGTGAAACAAATATTAAAAATATTTCTTCCACTACTTCCTACTTTAAATATTTTTTGAAGTTGCTTATTTGATCTACTTCATACTTCTAATACTTCTTGTCATCTAAACAGACCCTTAACGCAAGCCAGTCCTCTCCTGAGCCTGTGTTGAGCATGAGATATGCAATTAAAATCTGCAGCTGCTAAAGCTGCAGCTCTAAGCTGCCAGAGGTGAAGAACTCTTCGCCTTTATCCAGGAAGCTAGTAGGAAACCTCTGGTGCAACATGAAAGTGTGAGAAGTTTCCGTCGCATGAGATACGCAATTAAAATCTGCAGCTGCTAAAGCTGCAGCTCTAAGCTGCCAGAGGTGAAGAACTCTTCGGCTTTATCCAGGAAACTAGTAGGAAACCTCTGGTGCAACATGAAAGTGTGAGAAGTTTCCGAGGATGGTAAATTGTGCTTGAAAGCCCATTCATCGCAAGTCTTTGTTCCTCTGTGCTCCCTCTGCGATTTTGCCTTGGTCGCTTTGATGTTGCTAATCGACGTGCTTCCTTTTGCGAAAGCAAATCTAGCGCCTTTACGATTTGGTTTGTTGTCACCCTGGGGTTTTTTAGCCTCTTGAGTTTGTTGGGTTCCATCACATAGATCACTTGCCAGTGAATTCTCTTGCAGAGAGTTGTCAGGTTGATCAGCAAGCAAACTTTGTCGACAGGATTTGAGGAGAGAGAGTAGCATATCTACACTCAGCTCTTGAAGCACCAGACCTCTGTTCTGATCACAGCCATAGCAAGCTGCCATGAGTGTACTAGCCAAGATTGGAGTCAACTCAGGGTCGCTGAAGAAAACAAAGGGTAGATCGCAGACCTGTTCCGTAAAAGGCAATTAGATCAGGTATCCATGTAACTTTTAGATGCGATGAGGGAATAAATTGGACAAAGATTATAAAGGACACCTTATGAAGAAT